GCCGCAGCGCCTGCAGCCGCCAGAGCCACATTCGTGGGCGCTGAGCGCTCCGGGGCACGATGTCATTGATTCCGCCGGCAGACACCGCTTGGTTCCGGCGTTAGAATGAGCACCGCACAGGACAGGGATTTGCTAAAGCCCTGAGTAACCTCGCGTGCTCTGAACAAGGGCTGGCTGTGCCTCGGGAGCCTGCTGGCCTCAGGCTTTGTCCTGCAGCTGCTGCGTATAGACACACCCTTGCAGGGCTCCTTTTGCTGCCAGCAAGTTCTCTGTGGTCTTTTTATGTTGTTTAAATTGCAGCATATAAGTATTTGTACCAAGAAACCTCTGAACTGACACTAAAAGCACGTGGTATCATGTCAACATGTATAAATTACAGTATTAAATCAACACAAAATGCAGCTTAACATAAAAAAATAAATATATAAATTAAATGCAAAATAGACCATTTCCCTAGAAACTCCATTTTAGTCCTAGGAGTAGGTTTCTAAGCAGCATTTTCTTTATGTCACCTGCCAGAAAACTAGCACTGAGACTGAAGTGTCCCAGACAAGTGCAACACAGGGTCCAAGGGTGGTGGTGGTGGAGTCAGCCCTCGGCTCAGGGCCGAGCACGGTGGTGACACAGCAGATGGCAATACCTTTGTGCTGGATGTCAAGCCTTGTTGCACTGCTTTCTATCTCATTCCTCCTTCCCCAGAGCACAGCCTGCTGCCACTTGCGCTGTCTTACGGAAAGATAAAAGCCATCTTTGTGGCAAGACCCTCTGTCAATGCTCTTGGAGGCAACAAAGACTCACGGGCACTGCAGGCTCAGCACACCTGAGCACTCTCACTCCTGGAGCTGCTCTCCCTGCAGGGAGAATGGGCCTCCCATGCTGCAGCAGGTTTGCATGCTGAGGAGGCCCTGGGTGGCTGCTCAGTAGCCACAGTGCACTCATGGCACACAGCTGTGCTCTGCCAGGGCAGCCAGAGAGCGAGGACAGACACCCACAGTGATGCACAGGTTGTGAGCTGCAGGGGTGCCCCACAGGGATGGGCAGCACCTCCCTGCACTGGCAACACGTGTCTGCATGTCCCTGGCATGGCCTGAAGGACCTGAGAACGACTACACTTCCCCAATATTTTGGGGAGGGGTTTCTCTTTCCTCACACCACAGTTCTATTCCCCACACCCTGGACACTTGGGGGGACAACAAAAAGCTTGAACACAACTAGAAGGTTGGACCCCAGCATGTGGTCAGCAAGGAGACACCGCCAGGCATAGCCTGCCCCAGCATGACCTGCAGGCACCTCGACTGCCTCCCCACAGTCCTCCAGAGCCTTTGGTCTGGGGACAGGGAGGTTTCTCATACATCTTGGGCCAGCAGTGAGCAGGGCTGTTTCAGCCCTTCTGCTGTTGAGGGGGCTGCAGTTGTGCGTTTGGATGCTTTTTTTGTGTGACTGTTGAGGCCACAGCCCCTCTGTGCCTCCTCCTGCCACACAGATGATGTACAGGAGTCAGTTGGCCACTGTGTGCGCAAAGCTCAAGTTAGCAGGTTAGGAATGTGCTGAACCCTCCACTCCCACTGCTAGGTGGTGGTCCTGCCTAGCTGGAATGCAGGTCCCCTTTCTCAGAACACCTCCTGTATGCTCAGGATGGGAGATAGAAGAATGACCTTCACTGCCACAGTCGGAGGGTTTCCCCGGTGCGCTTTCTTTGCCCCCCACGCGCTCTCTGCATGCAGCAGCAGCACTTCAGCCCTCACCTGATGAGGTTCATGGTGCTACAGGTTAAATGACAAGGCAGCCAGGAAGAGAGTAGAACAAGCTCTCACAGCAGCAAGGCAGCCAAGGTAGTCTACAGAAACTGTACAGGCAGCAGAATAAAGCAGGGAAAGTGAAAGTGCCCCTGACCTGCAATCGCTCTTGCACAAACTCAGCTCAGTCCAGAATATTACAGAGCCCTGCACTTCTTCCTCATAGCATCCAGTGCTGAGCTAGATGGATACCCAATTGCCTGACAAATAGGAACCATGTAGAGGACTAAACCAGAGAAGAACTGGACTGTGATTAGATGGTGTCTCTGATGTTGCATCGGTGATTGGAGAGTCAATGGATGAACACAAAGTGTGGGAGATTTAGAATTCAATCTTACAGGCTGGAAAAGATTCATCCTGCATCACGACAGTGCTGCTGCTTGCCAGTACCATGATGTTTAGCTCCTGCTGTTTCTCATGGGTCTGTTGGTACCATTCTCGTGTCACCTCAGTGTCATGTGTTGGGATCAATGTCACCTGGGAAAAGAAAGCAGCAGGGATGATTGTCTGAGCACCACCACAGTGACAAACCAAGCCCACAGGAGCCAAGGTTAAAATTTCCCATTAATTCTGGAACACTGTACCCTCAGTACTGCTTTCTCTATTTAATGTCTTTCAGATGTCAGGTTCTGAGGCAGAGGTGGTGCTTTATTTTATACATTACACAATAGGGCTCTGAACTGGCTGCAAACTGGCAGCACTGACACCGTAACGGTGACACCTGAGGGAATGGTCTGAAGTTGCATCAGGGGAGGTTTAGGCTGGATATTAGAAAAGGTTCTTCACCCAGAGGGTGGTCGGGCACTGGAACAGGCTCCCCAGGGAAGCTGTCACAGCACCAAGCTTGAGCTCTCAGGCATGTGATTCTCAGGGCTGTCCTGTGCAGGGCCAGGGGTTGGACTAGATGATCCTCAAGGGTCCCTTCCAACTTTGTATATTATATTCTGTGATTCTGTAATGTCTGCAGGGAGAGCATCATGCTCTGGAGCTCCAGAAACAGCCTCTGAAAGATCCCTTAGTGTGAAAAGGAACAGTGCTGGCAGTGTCACTGTTAATGGACTCTATGTGCTCATTGACCCAATGTTCAATTCAGGGACCTGCTTCGTCTGAAAGAACATACACACCACCTGGTACGTGTTATATTCTGTGATTCTGTAATGTCTGCAGGGAGAGCATCATGCTCTGGAGCTCCAGAAACAGCCTCTGAAAGATCCCTTAGTGTGAAAAGGAACAGTGCTGGCAGTGTCACTGTTAATGGACTCTATGTGCTCATTGACCCAATGTTCAATTCAGGGACCTGCTTCGTCTGAAAGAACATACACACCACCTGGTACGTGTCTTCAGGAGCCCACCTGGGGCATACTGCAAGCCTGGCTAAGAGAGAACTATGTATAAGAACATTCTGGTTTAAAAGCAGTAATATAAAGTTGCTATCAGAAAGATCTTCAGCAATCCAGGCTAGCAACAGATGCCACTGAGTGTGGGACACTGATGAAAATTCAGCCTTCGTGACTGATGTGATGGTGCTTGACTTCGCTTGAGGATAGGCTCATCCTGCAGCAGCTAAGGAGGAGTGTATCATAAATGCTTCCTCCCCTCAGAAGGATGAGGGAAGAAGGACATATCTGCTTCCATTCACACCATTTTGCAGGTGTCGTATTCCTCCTTATCAGTACAGTTAACTCTGCTAAGGCTGCAGAGCAGGACATGCCCAGCACCATTTGCTTCCTCTCAGTGCACTCCCTCAGTTATGTTTGTGACACACATCTTCTGAGCACTTGTGACACCTGGAGCACCATGCACACCTTTGCATTTCCATGACCTACCTGCAGGTTCTCCCCCCACTGTGACTTCCCTTCCAGAAGTGCATCCAGCACTGCACGGCTTGGTTCTCCATTGGCTGCATCATTCCCACTCACAACATAATAGGATGCTCGGACCCTTTTGAAGAACTCGGGGTCTGTGTTCTTCGCACTGCAGTGATTGGGGATGTAGGCCAAGTCCACATAGACGGGTGGACCCATAGGCACAGACAAACTGCTTCTTGGATTGTTGGAAGCTTTGGGAAAAAAAGCAAACAAGAGCTGTCTATCTATTCCCTTTTGGAAAGGACAAACACACAGAATAACACTGAAGGACTTGAATTACAGAAAGGTTTTTTTCCCTGCAGCAATGAAGTTAAGACATATCCAGGCTCTGCTGCTCAGAGGTGACCTGGGTTTGTTTCTGGGCCAATGCTGTCACAGGTCTTGGGAAGGAAAGAGAGTTCTGTTCTTTGGGAAGGTACTGGAAGGCTTTAGGCTCAGAATATTTTCCAGGGGAAGGGAATCAAAAGCCTCCAATATTCACTTTTGCAGAGTTGTCATCCCAGTCAATATTTAGTCCTAATTTTTGCTGTTTAATAACCCACATTTGCTAAAAAAAAATCCTGCCCTGATGGCCTTTGTATTCTATTCTAGGCTGGTACAGAACTCTGTCTGGAAGGTCCATTTGGCTTTCTGCCATCCTACTCCAAGGACTCTCTTGCTCTTTCCTATCAACCTTTTGTACCTCTCAACCTTATCACTGGTTATTACTTTTTATACCTTACTGGGAAGTCCTATTATCTGCTATGTTTAGCCCAGTGCTTTTCTCTGTGTTGGACCTAGAGACAATGCATGCTTCAGGGAGGATTTCTTACCAGGGCTTGTTTTGATACCGTTAAGGAGGCTCTTGCCAGGGTTGCCATGGCTACTCCGGGACAGCTCATCCTCTGGCATCAGTGCACTTCGTGCTTTGGGCTTCTCTCCTCCATCTCTTTCTTTTTTGGCAGTGATAGATTTTGGAGATTTGTCCGACAGCTGTTTCACAGGAGTAGGCGATCGTTTCCCTTTCATGTCCAATTTCCGGGCAGGTGAGGAAGATTTGGGTTTGCTCAAAGGTTTCCTTACACCTTTGTTCTTTTCTTTTATGTCTTTCTTGGAAATTTTATCAGTTCTGCTCATGTTTTGCTCATTTACCAACACATCCGGGTCTACCATGCAGACATCAGGGTGAGGAGGGTGGGGATGGGGATCTACCATTGGAACAGGTTGAGGATCGTGGCTGGACCTCGAACTGGCATGATGAGCATTCCCCACAGCTTTGTCCACTGGGAGGAAATCGGCATCTTCATCCGAGTCCATGTTAGCATCTGCTGTGATGGACGGACATTCCTCAGTCTCAGGTGGGACATCCGAGTCAGACTGGGAGGTTCCAGAGTCACTCACTGACGTTGGAGGGGTTTCCTCCACTGTGGCACTTTGCATGGGGCTGCTCCCAGTGTGGGGTGGTCTCCCCTGCACTGAAGGGTGACCATCCTCCTGTGAGAGGTCACTGTCTTCAGAGAGCTCATGGGGGCTCGGGTTGATGAAAGAGGGAGAGAGCTCTCCCTTTCTCTGCTTGTATTCGCATGTGGAAAATTTCTGTCCACAATCAAAACTGCCTCCTAAGCGTGGCTCCATCTCATGGGAAGCATCTCCATGGTCCTCTGTTTTTCCACCCCTCTGCACATCTGGGAAAAAGGGCTGGAAACTGTGTTCAGGGGATACCAGAGAGGAAGGACGACTTTGCCTCTCTGTGTCCTCTCTGCCTGCACATGGAGAAAAACTACTGTCAGAATCAGGACATGTGTTTTCATCTTTTGCCTCTGCTGCATGGTATGTGCTTTGGAAAGCTTGCAGACTGGTGCTCACCTCTGTTGGACCATTGGCTGTGGTATCATCTTCGTGCTGCTGATGAGGAAATGATGTCAACACATCAGGAAGACATGTCAGCGTCAATGCCTGTTCTGCAAATGGTGCCTTCTGCTCAGGGCTACTCCTGCAGGGCTGCGGCTGCTGTTCCACAGGGAATGGCCCCAAGCCCTGGACCTCCTTCCTGCATGGAGAGGTGCCACAGGGGAATGGAGAACCATGATCTTCAGCAAACACAAAGTCTTTGGTTTCAGCTATTTTCACAGCATTATCTGGAATCTGTGGAGATACATCCCAAGGACTCCTGGCACCTGGTTCTATCCCTGCCCCTGTGTGTGTGGAAAGCATATGGGAGTAGAAACTCTCTGCTGTAGTCGGTATCACAGGAGTGGTGGCTTCAGATGAAGGTTCCTCTGACAGGCTGGAAGAGTCATCCTTCAGCTGCTGCTGGGGCACAGACTCTCTCTCCACACCTTTGGAGAACAGCTTGTCTTCTTCATATGGACTCAGCAGTGAAAATTTAGGAAAAGATGAGTCAAGGCTGCTGATTTTCTCAGAAACCTCCAAGTATTCATCTTTCTTCCCCTGGTCTGAGAGCAAAGCACAAGGAGACTTTAAAGGAAGAGAGATATCCCCCAAACGGCTTGCTGAGGTTTGCTCATGCCTGAATATGCTGGCTGTGTCGCCCTTTCCTAGCAGGGAGCTTTCAAAGCCAGAAGAGCTATCCATCCCTCTGCCCTCTACCCCTGGGCCCCCTTTGTGTGCCTCTGTCTGTTTGCTGGAAGCAGATTTCAGGTATGTGGCTTGCTCTTGGCACTCGGAGAGCACTGCTGCACCTGGATAATCTGCCATGTGGAAATGGGATTGCTTTGCGGATTTTTCAGCAGCCTCTCTCTTCTGTGAAGGATCTTGCCTTACATGGCATATTTCTGAAGCTTTTTCATCTCTTCCCACGTCTGGCACATCACTGTAACCAGCAACATATGCCCCCACAACAGCAGCTGATGCAGCTGTCCTACTCCCATACTCCTCTTTCCAGCCTGGACAAGAGGGGGAAGAAGCAGTGGAGCTGGGTGAAAGGGGTTCCTGATGCTTGCTCTGCAGGAGGGACTCTGAGACAGGGAACTTGCCCATGGCTGAGATGTGTGTATAGTCTGTGCCTGCAGCTTCAGCAGGGCTGTGCAGTTTAGACTCCTTTTCAGACTTCTCCTTAGCACCTTTTTCCAACTCTGTGTCACTTGTGCTCTCTTCCCCTCGATCTGCTTTCTCATAATCTGTGTCTTTGGGATTTGGGCTTTCAGATTTCAGCTCCTGGCTAGACAAAATGATGTTCTCATCTGGACGAACAGCACCAATACAGGTGGATGATTTCCCTTGGTAAAAAGTGTCAGTTGTGTCTGTGGGACAGGCAAATGCTGTGCTCGTGGATGACAGGTGCAGTGCAGATTCCAGTTCTGGCGAAGCAGAAGACATCTTTTGTTTTTCCTGTCCTGATATACCGGGCTTCCCTGTTTCAGACAAGGGCAAGTATCTTTCATGGATGTCTGTATACTCAAAGACTGAATCTGCTTTATCTTTAGGGGATGCTGGAGATGACAACTCCTTCTCAGCAGAGGTGTAAAGGCAGGACTCTTCTTCCTTTGCAGAGATGTGAGAACTTTGACATTTTTGAGAGCTCAGTGCTGTCACTAGCACCTTGTCAGTGTGACCTGGGCTGTCTGCACCCTTGGCTGTGAAGGGGGAGGGTCCCACTCCAGACGCAATTATCTTCTCATAGATGTCAGCATACTTGAAACTTCTCTCATCAGGGTAGGGTGTTGGTTCTCTTTCTTCTTGCTCCTGTCCTGTGGAACTGTCATCACCTCTGGGTCTGCAGATCCCTTCCTCATAGGAATAAGGCTCAGGGAAGCTCTTGGAATAGGTCTCTGGAGGATATACCTCTCGGATGGCAGCACCCAGAGCCCCAGCATGGCCCACAGCAGCACTGCTTTTTTTTCCTGGGGGAGATTGTGCTTGCTGTCCTGACACCTCAGCACTCTTTTCTGGGGATGCTGCAATATACTCATATTCTTCTGGTCTTGTAGATTGCAATAGAGTAGATGCTGCTGTTGTCTGCTCTTTTCTTCCTGCAAAGTCATACAGACCCTCAGTGGATTTGCAGTCATCCTCTTGCCTTCTGTCTGACTTGTATTTGCAGTCTATTTCCTGATACAATCCATGCATGTCAGATTTCTTCTCAGCCATCTTCGATGGGATGTCCTCCCACAAAGGTGGCTTGCACTGGTCTAACTTGCAAGGCCTCTCTGCTCCTGGTGTTGCCTTAATCTCCTGTCCTGCTGCAGACAGGGGAGATGCTGTCAGCACTTGGTCTAGTGACTTTGCACAGGTATCTAAGACAGCTTTCTCCTCGTCATCTAAGTAATCTTGTTTAGATGTCAACAATTCTTGCCTTTCTTTGTTTCCAGTTAATGCTTTGGTCTGATTTTTCTCACCAGAGACATACTGAGGCGACAGTGGAGAACTTTCCCTTTGTGTTCTTTCAGGGACAGTGATGTCAGCAGGAATCTTTGTTTCTGGCATAGGTTTGACACTCTTCTGTGTGTCTTCTTTGTAATTACGTGATTCCATCTTGAAACATTCTGTTTCTGCTTGCAGTAGCACAGATTTTTCTTCAGCATGGTGGAGCTCCTCATCCTCCTCACTGGGTAACTGTCCTCCTCTCCTACTCTCTCTCCCTTCCTGAAGATACCCAAACTCAGGGTCCCATGCTTCCCTGGCATAGGTTTGACACTCTTCTGTGTGTCTTCTTTGTAATTACGTGATTCCATCTTGAAACATTCTGTTTCTGCTTGCAGTAGCACAGATTTTTCTTCAGCATGGTGGAGCTCCTCATCCTCCTCACTGGGTAACTGTCCTCCTCTCCTACTCTCTCTCCCTTCCTGAAGATACCCAAACTCAGGGTCCCATGCTTCCTTTTCTGCTACTCTCCAGGTGTGACTGCCAGGGGCTGGAGGAGGCAGGATCCCCTCCTCTCCCACTTTAGGAAAGGATTTTGTTTCAAAGTCTGGTACCTCATCCAAGAATGTGTTCTCTCTCTCTTTGTCACATCTCTGCCACTTTCCCTGGACAGGGATCTCCTCCACCTCTTCCGGAAACCATACTTTCTTCTCATAACTTAAATCTTTCATGTAAAAGTCTTCCATTTCTGCAGACTTTTCTCCTTGAGCTTCCTTGAACCTGCAAGATTTTACACCTTCAGTCAAAGTATGTGAAGATGTTTTATCCTCAGTTGGGCTAGATTCTGTAAAGTATAAGCTCTTTGCATCTGGAGATACTTCCTGAGAGTACAAGCCTGCAGCTCTTCCCCTAAAGGGGTCCTTTTCTGATGCAGAAAATAAACTGCTGTCATCGGGACACATTTCTTCAGTTGAAGAATCTCTGGGTGACATGTCTTTAACTGAACTACTTTCTGGGTATGGAAGAGATTTTGATGCTTCTTTCAGTTCTTTGGCAGAATTTTCTAATGATTTTTCAGATGTAGGTGGGCTCTGGTCTGTGAAACCCATGGATTTCACAGCTTCTGAAGGGAATTTGTCAGTGAAGTTTGGCATAGTTTTTTCTTTTGTAGGTATCTCTTCTGTGAAACTAAGAGATTTGAGATCTTCTGGAGAAATTCCTTTAACAAAAAGGTCTGAAGAGATTTCCTTGCTGGGACTCTCAGTGAGAGAAATGGATTTGGTCTCTTCTGGGGAAATGTCTTTATTGGAAACATGAGAAGATTCTTCTTCTGAGGTGTCGCCTGTGAAATACAGCAGTTTTCCTTCTTCAGCAGTAACTCCCTTAGAAGTATCTGAGGATTTTTCTTTACCAATGCTTTTTTCTGCAAAAGGAAGTGATTTGGTGTCATCTGGTGAAAATTTCAAAGGTTCATCACTTTCAGATTTACTTTGGCTTGTGACCTGTGGGAGATTCACATTTTCTAGAGATGTTTTTGTGGTTGAGAATGGCTCAAAGGACAAGTGTTTTGAAAATCCCACTAAACTTTCTGTCATGGTTTTGGTTCCTTGCTCTTTTTCTGGCTCTGTGCTAGGATGGGACATGCTGAAATGCTCCTCCTGCTCCCCAACTGCCACTGTGTCCTGCTTGTGGTAGGAGAGCCAGGGCAGCTCCTCCCTCCTCACAGGTTCTTCCTGCACCTCCTTCCCAGGAGACACTGGAACATCACTACCCAAACCCAGTGCGTGCTGCACAGGTCCAGGTACTTCTTTTTCACGTCTGGGTTTAGCTGCAGGTGCCTTCTCTGAGAGGGCTTTCTCGTCTTCTCTGAGAGGCTCACCCTTGGCTGCCTTCACCACAAGAGAAGTTTGGCTTTCCAGTTTCTTGGCAGCAGCATCTGTTTGTTTCTCAAACAGATCTGAATCTACTGTTTCCAGCTTTTCCTCCACTGGAGACTGGTGGAAGGGTGTGTGCCCTGCACTGGTGGGGCCAGATGGGGTGGGAGAGGCCATTTTGACTGTGCTGTCGTCAGGGCTGGTGCATCGTTCCTCGGCCTCTGCAGAGTCAGCCTGCGAAAACAGTGCTTCCTCAGCAGGCAGCGGCGGCACCTCTGCAGGAACACTGACTGCCACGTCATCGGGGCACCCTTGGGCAGCAAACATGGGGGCACTGTAATGCTCTCTGAGTTTCTCAGGCATCTCAATATTTGGAGTCCCATCTTCTTCATCCTCTTCATCTTCCACCTCTTCATGCAGATCCTTTTTTTGAGCTTCTAGTTTTCTTTCTCCTTCTGCTAATGCATGGAAATCTTCAGGGGGTGGAGATTTAAAGCACTTGTCTTCCTCCAAGGACGATGTGGGAGAAATTGTGCCAGCAGAGGGAACATAGTCAAGACCTTGGGTGGCTTCAGTCCGAGAGGAGGGCATGCTGTTTCCTGTGTCCAGAAGCAAAGAGCTTTTTCCAGTCTCTTCTGTTTGTGGTGCTGTTATAGATGCAACAGATTGATCTTCTGCTACTGAAGTTGCAAAAGATGAAAGTTTGTCACATTCTGTAATGGAGGTAGCAGAGGATATGTGCTCCTCCTCAGCTAGAGGTGCTGCCACAATGTTTGTAGGATATGCCAGGATTTCAGACTCCTGGGCAGCATAGCCCTTGGCTGAAAGGTCAGCAGGAGGTGTGGCCTGTATTCCATGTACTGCTTCAAAAGAGCCTGGGTGGTCAGGAACAGAAATGTCATAGGCATTGACATCGTACTTCAAGTGTGGGATTCTTTCTTCCTGTTCATCATGTATTTCTTCATCAGAAATGGTCTGCTCTGTTTCTGAGTACCCAGGGATAGTTTCATCTTGGATATAGGAAACATGTTCTGCTGTTACTCCTGCTGGGACTGGCAGGCTGCTCAGATATGACTCTTCCTTTGTTATGTCCTTTCCAAGTAACTTGTTTTTCTCACCCAGGTCACTAAATTCTTTTTCCTTCTCTGTAGTGGTGAACAGTTTGTCCTCCCTCTCATCCTGCTTCAGCTCATAGAAGTCTCTATTATTTTCCACCTTCTCCTCTGCTTTCACGTGCTCTTCTTCCTTTTTTTCCAGTTCTGCCTTTTCTATCACATCTTCTTTTTTTTCCTTCCCACCCACTTGCTGTGCCTCTGGATCCTCAATATACTTTTCACAAGTCTTTGTTTGTGCTTCCCTCTGTTTTCTATCCAAAGAGATTTTCTCCTCTTCCTCCTTCTCTTCTTCTCTGACCACTGGTGCCCAAACACCCTTTGCCATGAGGTCTGTCTGGGCTGGCACCTGTTCTTTGTCAGCCTTTTCCTCTGCTAGTGATTCTTTTCCCATATCAGTAGTAGTTATTCCCTGATCAGGAGTCTTTATTTTCAAAATCAGATCCACTTCAAGGCAACTCTGAGCAGTCATATCAGCAGAGTATTTTACCTCTGCTTCAGGTGCTCTCATAATCTTATCACTAACCTCCATGTCAGACAGTTCTTGAGTGATCTGCAAGGCCCCTTTCTCCCTGTGCTTCAGTTCCTCAAAGTCCTTTGTAAGATCTTCTGGTGAGGACAGGACTAACCTGTGTTCTGCTGTCAAAGTCTCTCCTGGCTCCATCTCCACTGGTGATGTCTTTAGGTCAGCAGGTACTTCCTTTTCAGGTTTGACTTTGTTTTTCTCAGTTTTGAGTCTGCCTGGAAGTTTTGCCTTGTACAATGTTTTTCTTACTTCTGGGGTAAATGGTTTCAAGTCTGGTTTAGAAATCTTTTTGGCCTCCGGTTTGTTTTCTTTCTTTTTATCATCTTTCTTTGAATCTTTTTTTTCCTCTTTCTTTCCATCATCTTTTTTAAAGTCCTTTTTCTCCTTCTTAATCTCTTTCTTTTCTTTGTCTTTCTTCTCTTCCAATTTGGACACTTTCTCTTTGAGATGCTTTTTTCCAGCCTTATCTTTGGCCAATTTTCTTTTCTCTGCTTTGAGAGCATCACTTGTTTCTGTCTTTATCTTTTCATGTTTAACAGGTTTCTCAGGAATTTTCTCTGTGTGTTCTTTAATCTTTTTGTCAATTTTAGCATCCTTTACTTCAAGTTTTGCTTCCTTAATCCCCTCCTCAACTGCCTCTTCTTTCTTGACTTGCTTTGTTGCAGATGGCTTGGGGGAAGATTTCAGACTCTCTTTACTGTCAGTTCTTTGTTTAATTTTGGTCTGCTTCAGCACAGGTGGAGGTATTCCAGAAGTGATATCTTTCTGAGTAGCCACCGGGTACCTCAGGAAGTCTAGGTGCTTGAGTTTCTCAAGACCTTCCAGTATCTTATTTTGTGGAGCATTTCCAGGAAACAAAACCCTGACAATTTTCTCTGTTGGGCTGGCTGGAAGCCACACCACTAGAGCTGTGATGGATGTGAGATAGGGAACTGAAATTTCACCTTCTTTCCCACTTGCAAGAATTATGCCAGTCTTTGCCTTGCTATTGCCAGCCCATTTCTGCATCAGAAACTGCATTTCCTTACTGTCCTTGACAGGGTTCAGTATATACATGTCCAGCTTACCCACTCCCATTTTGTGGAAGAGTGTGATGGGCTCGATGGTGCTGCTCACCACCCTGTAGAGAGGCTCTGATTTAATGCCCAGTCTGTTGAGATACTGCAGTGTCAGACAGGCTTCTTCGATGCTCCTCTTCACTTTCATGGATGCTTCAGGCATTTTCAGCTTTTCGGGAACATTAAAAAAAACCACCCCTAGCTCAGGAGAAATTAGGTTCTTCATCCAGTCACTGTAGTTAGTAGAGCCCTGAGATTGTTCTTCCTCTTGCTCAGCAACTTTCCTCTGCAGCAGCCCATTGATGCCAGGCAGGTTGTCTGCACCGATGTGGGTGAGCAGGATTGAGTCAATCCTATCCAGGTGCCTTACCAGCTTCCAGAAGCAGGATTTCCTCTCAGAGCCACCATCCACAAGGATGTTAAACCCATTGACAGCAAAGAGAGCAGAATCACCTCTTCCCCCAGGGAATATGTAGCAGCAGGGCTTGGAAAGCTTCAGGAAGCCCCCTGAGGTGGGTGGCTCCAGGAGGTCAAACGGAGATGGCACGTCAACTGTCTCAGAGACATACTCTGCAAACTCAGACACCCCATCCATTTCTGGCAGAACTGGATCAGGATTCAGTTTCAGATTAATAATTTCCTGAAATTGAGGATGCTCAAGGTTGCTCCAGGCTCCTTCTCCCAGGTATGACACTGTAAGAGAGGCCTTGGTCTCTGAATCAGTGTTGCTAAGAATCTGGGTGACCTAATGAGACAAGTACAGACAAACACAGGTCAAATAGAGCTCTGAGACGTACACAGCACCTAAAAAAAAAAGGCAGTTAATACATAAATACTGAAGCTGCCATGAGCACTTTACTGACAGGAAACACTCGGGTAGACAGAACAGTCCAAAAGCCCATGGAAAATCAATGCCTGGGGCCACGTCCTGCTCTCTGCTGGAATTCTGAATGTGATGTGCTGTTGCGCTTCCTGACTGCTGGGAGGAACCACCTTGTCCTCTTTTCTTACTTCTTCCTGTTTAACCTGAGATATCAGTCCTTGGCTTGGGTTCTAAAGTAGCAGGTTGTTGGTTGTTTTTTTTCTGGTTTGTGAATTCTAACCCTGAGTCAACCTTTTCAATGCTAAGCATCATTGTCTGGCCTTACCCTCGCTCAGCAGCTAGTGAACCACCATGGAGCACTTTGTGCAGTTCTGGTGCTGCAGGACTTTCTTTTTTATTTAGATTAATTTTCTTTCCTTTTTCTTTTGAAAGTCATGACTCCATATCTGCTACACATACAGGCTTAGGTACATGCTACATGCTGAATATATATCAAAAGCAAAGAAGTATTACACCTCAACTTCCTAAGTATCCTGAATGAGATTAGTACAATTCTTTACATTGTATTCTCTTGCTCAGACAGCCCATAACTGCCTAGTTCATGTCCAAATAAGTGGATACCAGAAACAAAGTAGAACAATCAGCTTTAGATAAATGAAGGCAAGCATATTTGCTGAAGTGATTACAGCAATAATAATGTCAATTGGCAATATATCACCCAGCCATTCCTGCAGCAACTGTATATTCAACCAGACAGAAACATTCTAAACATCTGGCACATTAGCAGTGAAAGTTTGGCTTCCCAGAAACTAAAGCAGAATATCTTTACTGGCAACGAGCGCCAACAGAAAGAGAATGTAAAGCCTTTCAGGAAAGCTGTAGTGCACCAAGCTGAGATAATCAGCATTGGAACAGAAGTTCAGAGATGCCCTACAAAGTTTTACGGGTCCGACTGGACAAATCCCTGAGCAAGCTTGCAAAAATTCAGTACTGACTCTGTTCTATGCAGGAGGTTGGGCTACAGACCTCTCATGTGCCCTTCCAACCTGAATGATGCAGCAAATCCATGATTAAATAGTTGCACTTGTAGTTATGTAATCTCCATGTAATTACTTAATCAGCATTTAGTCATTCTTTCATCATCTTTTCACACCCCAAATGAATACTCTGAACTTTGTGAACATGTGTGTTGGACTGACTATGACATGAAGAGAAATACTCACATTTACAGCCTCTGTTGGCTGTTTTTGAGTGCTGCCCACAGTTATTTTAAGAGCTGCTTTAAGAAATTTTGTGTGTCTGCCCTCTGAAGGGCCAGTCTGGAAGGTTATTTCAAGTTGAACAGTTAAAGGAATCACCCATGCCTGCACCTTGGAAAGCCTAAGCCAGGGATTTAAAGCAAGATTCCCAAGACATTAGCATGAATTATTCATGGTATGCAATTTTCTGCTGGATTTCAAACCTATCTGTCTGCAAATCTGCCACCTGAAGGAGGGTGCAGGCTGCGTTGCTCTACCATGCACTCTGAACAGGAGGGGAGGTGCTGTTACGGCTCATACTCACCTCTGGGTCTGAAAGTATCTCAATGAACTTCTGGTAAGTGAAGGTCCCTGTCTGCAGGACCAAGTCTCCTTCCTGGTCTGAGCTCTGACCACAGAGGATCAGTAGTTTGTGTGTTGATGAATCACACAGCAGTGAGCGGACCTGTTAGCACAAGATAGAGTACTGCAGTCAGAAGTTACCTGCACTCCTCACCAGCACACAGAATCCCAGTCCCATGGACAGGCAATACTCCCATGTTATTCACAAACAGCCAAAACATAAGATTTCTACATACAAGAAAGTAGGTTTTTGAAGAGGGAAGACACTGCTACTGTCTACCCAACACAGCTCCATGTCACATCATAGCTCACATTGGAAAGGTTGTAAGATATCAGCATATTCAGCCTCTCATCAAACTAGAATGCTTGAGGTGCAGAAGTCCTCCACCTTGCTTGCTAGGAAAGTCTACAGGCTCCTGAAAGTGCCTGAGCAATCCTTAAAATAGGGCAATTCTAGTGCACTAACTCTTCCAGGAGCAGCTCATTCCTAAAGTGCTAGCACACAAGAAACCACACTCTCCTGCAATTCTTTGTCTAGCAGCAGATTCTGCCACAGACTCCTGGTTACTGCTTATGTCTTGTTGGCAAAACCAGAACACCTGGACACTTCATCGTATCTTGTGGCAGACTGGCAGAACGTTCATACTCCAAATGTGCAAGGTATGATGATCGTGACCTCCAAGTCAAGCAAGGGGAGGAGAACTGATGTGGAGAGAACTCACTGCATCCAGTCTTTACCTCAGACACGACGCCGTCCACATTAGGATTTACCAGGATCACTGTCTCCAGGGTATCATTCTGGTGATGGAGAGTTCTTTGGCCTAGGGAGAGAAAGGGGATAAGACAGGATGAGAGAAGCTGCTGAGACAGCATCCAGCTACTGTATATTTTAGCCTCAAAAATTCCACTTCAGCATGGGTTTGATTGCAAGGCTTCAACTTCCAGTCGAGACCGAATTTAATACCCAGGTCACTTAGAACAGACCAAACTCTTCAGCAACAAGGAAAGAAATCCTAGTTCTTTATCAGCACAATTTGCCACTCAGCTCCAGCATGTTCTGAAGGCTCCAGCACCAGGCACGCCGAGCTGTCTGCCCATGCCAGGCGGCCGTGACTGTAAACACTGGCACAGACAAATTAGCCCTTTCAGACACAAGTGCCTTTCCTCGTGGCAACTGCCAGGGAGAGGTGTCACCGGTGTTGTCCAAGGCTTAGTTACCACAGGGCTCCATGAGGCAGCCAGTGGGTGACGACTCACCCTTTACTAAGTGGTGCAGCACTGATAATGAATCTCTTATAATTTCTTATAAAGGTTTTTTCCCTTAGGTTTTTCTTTAATCCAAATGTGCACTCCTAAACTGCTGATATGGGAAGAACATAGACAATAAGGGTGCTTGTTCTTCTGTCTCCCTCCTGTCCAAGGCACCCAGACAGGACTCTGCTCTCTCTCCATATCTAGGGAAAAAAGAAGGAGCCAAAGAAGAGCAAGCGAGATCCTGGGAGTGCAAAAAAGTGGTTTGTGTGCTCACCTTGGCATGGGCATTGTCTGGATATTTGGCAAAATGCTTCCAGGCATTAATAGGCCCAGGCCCTATTAATTTAGGGAAAAGAAGGGTGGTGAGCGTCTGTCACGCTGATGGGCAGGACCAGAGCCACCACTCTGATATACCATTGCTGGATCAGACAGCTCTGGGATGCAGGATGATGTACAGGACCTTTCTGCAGCATAGAACCTTTTCTGATTCTAGTGTTTGGAAACACCTACCTCTGGACATTACATCCACTCAACAAGCCAGGCGCCTAGAACTTCACTGTTGGAATGTACAGTTTATATGATTTAAGCCTTTCATAGGTCTTAATCCCTCATATAGATCAGAGGATGGACACTTCACTGAAAATGGACATCTATTTCTCATCTTCCAGACAACTGTTATTCTCTGGCAATGTTGCTCTTTCCATCCTCCACAACTTGCCATCAGCCCTTTCTAGGCAGATCTCAATCCTTCCAAAGTAGCTTCATCAGGCTGGCATTTCAAAGACAGACACCAAAAGGGCACAGCAAGAAAGGAGTCAGATAAATGCCATTACTCAGCACGGCTTTAAGCAAACTCATTTTACTGGAATGTTTTACTCTGCTGCCAGCAATTAACCAGACAGATATGCCCAGAAGGCAGCTTTCAGCCCAAAGTGAGAGTGCCTCTCAGCAGAACTATTTGTACTCTCTAGTTGAACTTGTGTTCTTTCAGTCTGGCTAAAAATGGTCACTCCAGACTAAAACACAGCCATCACTGTGCAAAATGCACTGAGTTCAGTGGCATTTCTGCCACTCGGTGTGGGATGGATGTATGGCTGGAGATGCTGGGAAACAAGTCCCTGTGCACAGAAGGGATGCTGCAAGTGAGCCGTGGGAGGAGGTGCAGAAGATGAGGGCCCAGGAGGTGTTCTGGGGCATTCTGTGTGGCTGAAACAAGCAAAACCCCACTCATCCTTGAGGCCATGGTAATTGTGAAGGCATTGCTGGTGTCTCAGACCTAGAGGGAGGTTAACAAAGCTTGGGAAGAGGGATGTACCACTGAGAGTGGATGCAAAAAATGCATAATTCATGGGCCACAAGGGCATTTGGCAGAACCCCCAAGATAAGGAAGAAACTAATAAAGACAGCTTGGCAACTGTGCTGAATCAGCTCCCACTGGGTAACAGGGAATTCCGGCAGGGGCAGATCGTGGCCACCTACTCACAGCCACAGACTCCAGAGAGCCACTGACTCAAAGGAAGAGGAAGACTGAGCATACAGACTAATCAAGCATGAGAAGCCAGAGAATTACTAACCAATAGAAGATAGACTGCTAATTAATAAGAGAACTAGGTAACCTGTAGCCAGTGAACATTAATGCCTTTGTTTGCTGCAATGTATAAAGAGTGAAAAGTCCTGATAGTCGTGCTGGCTTTGTGGGTTTGCCTCCCAGCACCTGTTTCTGTGCAGAGCTGTAAATAAAGGCCCTCGGCTCTGTGGACTGGCCTCTCACACAGTGGGTGAACCTCTTTTGGGACAACACTACAGGGACAGAGTAGGACCCACACCATTCCCCAGGCACCAGCCTCTGCCACCTTGGTGCCTGCACACCCCAGACACCGTTTTGGCAGTTGTCACCCACATCCCTTGGGGAACAGAACCTGCTATGCAGCACCAACACAGCAGCCTCGTGCTGCGTGTCAGGGCAGCCCTCGGGCACGGGCACGGAGAGGCACAAGGACATCCCTCCAAGCACAGGTGCCCCAGGCAGTGCAGCCTGCGGGTGACAGTGCCAGCTGCAGGGGGAAGGGGCCTGTCTGTAGCACTGACAGGCATGAAAACACTGCTGCTCATTGCCATTCCTGCGACCCGAGCCCAGCAGCTAAGCCCATGAACAAAGCCTGGCTGCTAGCACTCTGCTGGCAGCCCTGTCCCGTGGGGAACGGCCCTGCACGCAGGGAGAAAGCGAAGGCTCAAGCTGCAGGGCCAGCAGCTGCTGGCAGATGGGAGGGGTGAATGGGGAAGGGCTGTGTCTTGTGAAGGGCTGTGAGGACGATTAAGGGACTGAAGCGTTTTCATACGAGGTGAGGCTGAGCACACTGAGCCTGTTTAGACTGGAAAAAGAAGGCTTGGAGTGGAGGAGGAATATTTTCAATACCTATACCTATAAATACCTGATGGGAGGGAATGAAGAACAGGAAGTCAGACCCTTTTCTCAGTAGCATTCGGTGACAGGATGAGAGGCACAAATTAAGACACAGGCAGTCCTATCTGAACACAAGAAAACAATTTTTCTACTGTGAGGGTGGTCAAATATGGGAATAGGCTATACAAAGAGGTTGGGGCCTCCATCCTCAGAGATACTAAAAAACTTGACTGCATACAGGCCTGGGAAACTTGCTCTTGCTTACCCTTGAGCAGGTGTCACTGGACTAGACAATCTCAAGAGGTCCCTTCCAACCCACAGTCTGGCAATTCTGTGACTGTGAAGCAGTGCAGCCCTCCAGAGCTTTGCTCCTGACCTGCTGTGGGGCAATTTCCTCCCTTTGGTTGCAGCAGTTGGCTCTCAGGAGGGTTCAGGAGCGAGCTTTATGGATAGGCCATTTCCAGAAACACGGCCTCACTGCACACACCTGCGTACACCAAAACTCAAAACTGTTTTTTAACTAAATTCACAGATAAAACTGAACAGCACATGAGCTCCAGGCTGAACTGCAAACTGAGTGAGACAGCAACATGGTGCCCTAACGCTGCCGTACTCCCTCTCTGAGCACAGCAGCAGCATCCCTGCATGGGCTGTGCCCAGCGCAGGGAGCACACATGGCCCAAAGCATCTGTGAATCCAGTGCCCAGCAGGCCGAGGAGCCCTTCACTGGCTACTTTCTCTACACAGCCTGCAGGAGCAACTGCACAGACAGAGTTTAAACACACAGCCTGGTGCGTCCCTCCTCTCACTAACAAAGACTGTGTGCACCAGAAACATGTATGGTGTGACCATTGCAGATAGGGTGACTGGAAGCACCACTGTTCAGGTCACTGCCAGGAGCTCTATCACAGTGAAATGTATGTCTGCATATGGGAAAATCCCTCAGTTCCATTGACCAGTACAAGGAATATCCTTCTCAGGCTCCTGAAGGCTGCTGTCTGCATCTTGCCTGGAGCAAACATCCAGGTACAGTTCATCTCCAGCTGCATTCTGAACACAAACGCCTGACCCTGTGCAGCCTGTCCAATTACAGTCAGTAGCTGCTATGTTAAATAAATCTCCTCTCTTCAGTAGCATGGCATTTCTCATTTTGTATGAATCCTCACTCTGCATTCAGGCAGATTATGGTTTCTGGAGTCATCCCTGTGCCCTTGTGCTTCCAGGGAATGTTCCCATCCATTGTGTCCTCACCAAGGCAGAGAGCCCCCAGCCTTCAACATCTGTTCCTTAAGAGGAGAGTTTCTTCAGTCCCTCAGAACCACTGTCACCTGTCCCTACGGTCACTGGGCCGAGTCAGAGCAGAAGTATACAAGACAAGAAGGAGCACAGGAGATTCAGGGGATGGCATTATTGTATTTCTTATTATTCCCCACCCTAGTGTTTTATGCATCATAACACAGTCTAACACTAGATTTGCATCAAATAAAGATCTTCGGTTAGGGGTACACAGTGACATATTTCACCCTGCCACAACACTATTAATTAAGTCCTTGTAAGGAGTCTGGAAGGTTTAATTTTTCTAGTCTTCTTGATTTTGCTTTTTTTTTTTTTGACAGCAAATTTAATAAGAAATCATGGTGACACTGCAATTCAGTTGCAGAAGTTCCTCACAGTCTTTTCTAGATATAAGTAACTGAGTCATCTATAAATTTAGCCACCTCCATGTTCATGCCAACCTCTTTCCTCATTATTACTGTACTGATCAGATTTATATTTAGCAGGAAATCATGAAGCCCTTGTATTTTACTTCTGGATGCTGCACAAACACGTCCATATATTTGTTTTCTAATTTGATTTCTGTCTTTTAAGTAGTTTGACTCATGGCATTACTTGCCTTTTACCCACATAAAGTGCTGCCTAACACATGGAAAGATGGAATACACAAGGCACTTCATTCGTGACCTCAGTGAAGTCTCAGAACACAGACAGGGCATTCCCCTTCACCACACAGATCACAGTGCTCACTGTTGAGCAGCAGTACCAGTGCCCTCATCCCAAAGGGCCATGAGGCACACATACCACTCTCTCCCACAGGGCAGCCACTTCTGGGTGCTGGAGGCACCACGAAACACCCCAGAGGTGGTGAACAACAGCTGCT